ACGTAGCTTTGTTTTTCTAGTTCAATTATTTGACGAGAAAGAGCATTCAAAGTTGAACAAATTTATTATGCGTATTAATTCAAAATGCAGAATTTTGATAAAACTTCCAGATGTTTCCAATTTTAAACAATCACAGCGCTCATTACGTTTCAAATGACTAAAGGTGAAAAAATATATTAGGTTTGGTAAAAAACGAATGTGTTTTGAGGGCAAGACTTTCTCGTTCAAAAAAGATACGTGCCTCAATCTTAATATGTTTTTCTTTTCACATGTGACACCTCTTTAAAACTATGAATTACAAAACCAGAGAAAATGGCAGGAATATGTGGTTTATTGAAGATACTTTTCATCATGTAAGGTTTTAAAACAGTCACACAGGACACATACCTCAAAGAATAGCAACCTGATGCTGTAGAGAAGAATTTCTATTCTTTAAAGCAAGTTGGCTTCTCCAAATATAAAGTTTCGTTTCGTATCTTGTATTTGAAAGTTAGCTGAGTATTTGACAATAGAAAACAATTGATTTATATAATGAAGAAAAAACTGCTGTTGATGCATTTTAAATTCATTGATTAAACCATAGATATTCATGAATGCAATTTCATCCTTTCGAATGATATTTAAATTAATTTGATGTGCTCTGTTTCGATATTTCCTTTGTAACCCATGAATTAGAAATACATGACAATGAGTGTATGTTTCTTCATTCGAAATGCGATGTTTTTCGTGCTGTCATTGTTGAAGTCTATAAGTAATAAGTATGAAGACGAGTTAAAATTGAAAAAGGCTAAAAAAATTTGCTAAAATTATCTATTTTGAACTGAATGGCACAAAAATACCCTTCTGTTGTGTATCTAAATAAGCAGCACGTGCGCTAAATGCTATTACCAAAGATTAATAATGGAACGATCAATCAGCATGGGATCTATCTTGAATGATATAAGCATCTTTTTTTCATTGTACAGCCACTACTTCTGGTATCCAGTCAAGCTATTCAGGCACTTTAACCAAGAAAAGTTCTTCATTTATGCGCCCAAAACAGGAAGCATACCGTTTCTACTTCTTACCAATTCATGTAAAGATCTCAAGCAGTGGCATTTATACGTTTTTATGTGAAAGTGGTATCGATACTTACGGGTGTCTCTATAATGAACCATTTCATCCAAGCAGCCCAAGTTCGAAATTAATAGTGACCGATGATGAGAGCGGCTCAAAGCAGAACTTTAAGCTCGTAGCAAATTTGACAACAACTGAGTCATTGATTCTCGTTGTTACAACACACAACGCGAGACAAACTGGACCATTTAAAGTTACAGTCTACGGTCCAGAAAAAGCAATCTTAACTCCTTATGTCACAATACCACTCACCACAACGAGCACCTCTACAACAACAAGCACCTCTACAATAACGAGCGTCACTAAATTAGGAGTTGGAGGTAGGTAAAACTAAACCGCTAAATTTGAAAATTAGTAGTATTATTAACTAAGTGTGGTTTTTCTCAAGCATCATTCTACATGAAAATGACGAGAATGTGGAGTAAAATCATTCACATGAGTTCAAGTGCTCTAGTAACTTATTTTCGAAATTTCAGCGAACATCAATAGTTCAACGGAAATTGCTATTAATGCCAAGAGAACACATTCCGTTTCTTCCTTCTGGGAAGCTTTCTCGAGTAAATAGGTACAGGTACCCAAGTGATAACTCCAATTTATATACATCTGAATAGTTTTACAACTGGTGTTGACTTGCGGAATTTCATGCACTGGAAACAAAAAAGGGTTTAGAGATTTGAAACGATTTCTGTATGATGTGAATGCGTGAATATGGGAAATTGACAGTTGGGCGCGAGGACACTTGGTCACTAGGACAGTTGATTGCAATGTATAAAATAGACCAAACGCCAAATCAAAACAAGAAATTATTTATTGATGATACATTGTCAAAAATTGAACAGAGACTGCTAGGGAGATCTTTCATCGTTCATAGCTACTTTGATAAATTAATTTTGTTTTCACTGGTAAGAGAATGAATGCTACTATTAATACATGATCGCGATACAACAAATGCGCTGCAAATAATTGGAAAAAATATTTCTGGAACTACCTTGAACGTCCCATCTATAAAAATCATACAATATAAATATTTTATTTGTTAAAATTATTACATTTTTTGGAAAACTTGCTGTAGCATTTTCTATGGTTGTCTTTTGTTCGTTGGTAAAATAAATGAATAGTCGATTAGCACCTGAACTAGTATCGTTTTTGAAAAAGATGGTGTTGAGAGTTGTTTCATGATATATTGGTGGAACAACAGAAAAATCTATGCTTGAACATGTTGGTTCAGGATTATTTTCTTGACGTCATGGAGAAACATTTCATTTTAGCTGATCAACACTTGGTAATTGAACACGTACATCATCTAGTACACCAATGTTTACTTGAGTTAACATATTATGTGGGTTCATTTGATTCTGTTCTGATACTTGTCTTAATTTTTCAAAATATTTGCGAATTGCTGCACAACGTGGATTACCAAGATGATTTTCATGTTCACAATATATTTTTAATAAATTCGTAGTTTAATTTTGTATATAATCGTCCATGGCAAGCATATGTTTATCTACTATTTATATTTCCAGAGATTTTGCGTCATACTCGTTGAATCAGTCATGTATAAATAGTCGTTATGTATTAATAAAGTTACATTTTTTGAAGTTTTGTACTAGTAACTCATGATTATTTCTCATGAACTGGTATTACTTCTTCGTGTACTGGATATATATACATGTGCTTGTATTATTTTTTGTTGAATAGTACTTGTCAATTGATTAAAATCATCAATTTGATCAATAATTAAAGAATTAAATAAATTAATTTATGATGATGATTATTCACGGATTCATATTATCTTCATTATTGTTTCCAGGTGATCTCATTGTTTTATTTATAGCTCTTTTAAAGTTCAAATCACGACCAACTGTCATATTGACTAATTGCCCCATTGCCCAACTGCCCCTGATCTATGAATATTCCTATCTAACATCATCATACCCATCATCAAAGCTCCTCGCGGGCTCTGAAAAGATTTCAAAGTTTGAAGAAAGATTTTTAGAGTGCTATCTACCTAAATTCAATATTTTTATATGAAATGCTATTGCTTGTGAAGTTGCAAATATTTTTTGAGACTACAGCCTCAAGGGTTCGGGTCTGAATATCGTTGGGGTATGCGTGTGCCTATGCCTATGGGCGTGGGTGTGTAAGTCGGTAGAATTGATAGCTTGAAAACCTACTCCCACACCCACACTCACAACAGTCCCAAGAGCAAATTATGAGATTATTCTTTGTCTTATTGGTAGTGCAGGTAAAAATGGTTCGAACATTCAGTGGGAAGGAAATAATTGGGCTATGTCATGTAATTTTCCTGGAAATGATATGTTCAATGTTCAAATTCGAGGAGAAGATTGTGGTGGAAGATGTGCTCAAACCTCAAATTGTACACATTTTACATGGACTACATATCTAGGTGGTACTTGTTGGTTGAAATCAGGCGCTGTCTCAAAAAACGATGCTATTGAAACTAGTGATCTATCGATGGTCTGTGGTGTGGTCTAATGGTTTTTTCTTGGAACATATTCACAGAGACAGCTTTTCACTGGTTTATTTTCATAACTGGTCTGATTTAATCACACGTAAACAATATATCTATTTATTTAGTCCTGAGGGTGTCGGTGTTTTTTTTATAGCATACTACGACGCATTTCGATCTTGTTGAAGGGTCCTATCAGGTAGTTCTATCTTTTGTAGCTATTCAAATGATTTGAAAATTACAAATAAATTACTTTGTTCGAATTTCATATAGGTGTCGGTAAAATAAATTCTAGATAATATTAAATTTCTCTAAATGAACGGTCTGTTCCATACACTGAAAAAAGATAGCACCACACGGAAGCATTTTTGAAACGAATTCGAAATCTTCAAAAAGGTTTCGTAAAACCCCAAGATAGTCTCAATATATTTATCAAGAGTCCAGGAAACTTTTCCGAAGGTATTGTAGAAAACTTAGGGAACCTAAAAAGGATTCAGAATTCGTTCCAAAGTTTGAAACACATTTTAAGTTCAGTGAAAAAATTGGAAACCTTTTATGAGTTTCGCACTGAGGAGAAAACTTTTTTGGTTCCGTGTGGTGCTTTTTTTTAGTGTAGTAGACAAGAATTGTTTTGGTACGTGTTGTAGGACTTCTTAGATTGTTTTCTCTTCATTATAAGACACTTTATGGGATTAAGAAGTTGTCAAAATTACACTGCGCATAGAAATTTTTTAATGGCCAATTTAGAAATGTGTATCAGGAGGTCAATCTGATGATAACAATACAACGCTGACTTTTATGTCTACATTTCTGATTAGGCTGTTTTTGATGGAGATAATGTGATTATGATACGATGTGCCTTCATTTCAAGTTGTTTTGTTCAGATCGACTATATAGAATTGATTTTCTTTATTAATTGATAGATTCTTTTCAGTGGTCAGTAAGACTACGAAATGTCAAATTGGGCTAAGTTATTGACAGTTTCATTTTTCTTTAAGATCCGCAGTTGTCCGTTTGTCTCATGTTGCTTGTTGTTCTCTTGACTGCTTTTCGGGGTGTGGGTGTGCGTGTATGTCTTTCCTTCATTTACACCTACAATCACACTCTCAGAAAATAGCGCACGAATAGCGTCGGAAAGTGCCTATCATTACCAATTAAGCTCAAAATATAGTAGTGCTTATGACGACTTGTGATTTTTCTTTGGTTTTTTTGTATTTCTTTCTCTATGCATGCGCTCAACTAATGATTTCTTCTATTATGAGAAAAAAATCAAATTATTTTATTTGCAAAAACAAAAAAAAGAATTCTCACACATAAGAAGATGAAGTTTACAAGATATTTTCTGCTAAGAAATTGTTCATTTTTTAACATTAACATACCAAATCTTATGATCGTTTAGTAATTCGAGGAAAGCATTTCACTAATGGTTTCTTCGAAAGTATAATTCGTGCACAAACTTTAGAAACTACATTATCCGTATTATTGTCAAAAGGGATCAAATTATGTTCACCTATTAAATCCTCCATCCACGCACGATTGACACTGAAGTCAGACTCAGCTGTGACTGCAATTAAGTTTTTACTTTTATCTTGTGACTTGTTGGTACCAATTGCATAAGATAATTCTTGAAATTTATCACTATTTTCACCATAAGCTGTTGATAATATAGGAATAATAACTGTTGCCGATTGAATTACGGGAAGTATATATTCCCACGTATCATCCCAAGATTCGACATGTTCGAAATCAACCCAAACAGGTATTGATGTTCTTTTGCGTAACTCACGTATAAAGATTTCACAAAATTTTTCATCAGTCCTATTGTAACTAATGTAGATCATTGATGACTTTTCTTTTTTTAATTGATTCGACGATATTTCTCCTTGAAGATTCGACCATATTCGCTTGGCATCATCCTGTTTTGGACGTTTCGAAAGACTTTCTATGATGACACAAAATTGATTGATTTCAGTCAATTCTTTATGATATTCGCGATAATTAGAAATTTGTAATAGAATTTTAAGTAAATATTTAGCTGCACGCTTTTCAAGATCATCTGCTTCTTTATCTAACAATGCCCCGTATATAGATAAAAGGCATTGTGCAAAGAATGCGACCGGCTTTAGTTCATTATTCGATTCACTACTTAAAATATCTTTGACTACGTACGTATTTGCGAAAGCCTGGTGCAATACTTCCAATAATTCCGATAGATGACATCCACTGCATCTTAAATCATCTTTGTAAGTAGCATCCTTACACAATCCGTACAAAGTTCTGCTAACCCAAATAATAAATCCTTTATTTTCTTCAGGTTGTTCATCGCTTACAGTTACAGATATTAATGCCATACCATACGATAACTTTAAATCTTCATCATTTTGTTCTTCGACTAGTTGTTTATATTTCATTAAAACTTCAAATGCTTTTTCATTTCGTAGCTGTGTCAAACCTGTCTTGTCTCTTGATAAATTATGAACAATAGAAAATATTGCGTCGCCTAATCTTTTAATATGAAATGCAAAACAATCTGTAGCAATCCATTGAATTGGTTTTTTAGCACAACTAAGTTCAGCGAGTAATGGAACAAGAACTATTTTGTCGGATAAATTCCATAAAATACCTAAAGTCGGAGTTATTACTTCTAGTGGCATCGAAGAATTTTCATTGTTTCTATCAGTCAGATATTTATCAATAAATTTCAACATAGAACTAATAACAGGGTGATAATTTTTTCCAAATTCATAGACCGATCGCAGATTTACCATGAATGAATAGCTGGAAGCGCACGACATATATTTTTCAATAAGTTCGTTGTAATCGACGTTCTCTTCTTTTTCTTCACATTTTTCATCATTCTCAATAGAATCTAAATAATACAAAGCCGGATTTAATTTTTAGCAAAATATAAATTCCTAAAAATATTACTTTTGATTGACTTGTTCTGATTTAAACAAAGTCGTTCGAAACATGTTTGAATCAAGTTATCTTCAGCAAGATTCATCAGAATTGAATCTAACATGTCACCGGCATACTCTTTATAATTCCCTGGTTCTTCCTCAGAAATTATTATAAGTTTACTAAGTATTTTTCGAATCATTGATTGAAAAGATGTTAGTGATATTACAAAATCAATTTTATCGATAGTACACATGCGAATCACTATGTTGAATACTGTAATGAGAGACATTGCACGTTTCTGATCGGTCATTTGGTCAATAATTTCTTCCAGATTTGTATTTACATAATGTAATATTTCTTCTATTTTAGACATATGTGAAGCTTCTCCTGTAACATGATGAGAACTATTCGAATCAGTTAATAACTTTAAAGTATTATCGATTTCTTGAAGAAGTTTGAAATAATTCGGTGCTCTTTTCGTTGATTTATTTGAATCTTTCTCTTTCAATGTTGTTGAATCATTTTCTGCCATCTAGAATAAAGACACATAACTAATACATGTGTGTGAAACGTATTATATAATGCATCTGAATTAAATTCGTCCATTTTTTAAATCATCGCTTGTCGCAACATATTTGTTTTTCTTCAGTACTACAACAATTATAAGCATCATATATAGATTCGATTTGAGTAGTTCTTCACAATTTCAACATAAAAAAAAAAGAAAAAGTCCCATTATAAGCATGGAAAGAACAGAAAAAAGCAAGGAGAAAAGAAGCACAAATGTGCATGAATATTAAAAAGAAAAAGTAGCATCAACAGAAGTAAGCTTGATAAGCACCCAAAAAAAAAAATACTTACTTAACCAGGAAGCAGTATATCGCACAAAATTTGCACTTCTCTATGACTACAAAGAGTTCTGTTCGCATTTACTAATCGTATGTAAGAAGGACAGAAAATAATATGACAATTATTCGTTCTTTCCTTTTATATTGGCATCCACCACCTTACACATGTTTATTCTACAAAAAAAATGCACTGCTGCATACTTTTTTCATCAAAAGAAATACCCTGAGTTCACTTCTTTCTCTTCTATTGAGTTATTGAAAAGTAATAAACGCAAGTTTGTGTGTGTTGGAGTAAAAAACATTCAATAACGAAACATGAGCAAATCAACTGATCCGCATCATTTATCTAATGACGTATGTGTTTTTTTAATTTATTATCTGTTTTGTTTTTAAATTTCTCTCTATTTTTCAATATCTATGATAAGTCGGTTGTTTGGACTTCTGCCATAGATCGATTGAGTTTTCAGAAACGAATATGTACGACTTTTATACCAAAAGAGTAAGAGCGTGCGATTTTTTAAAAATTCCAATGATAATCTATGATTCGACTATTTAGAACCAACAGTGAATGTTGCGTTTGTAATTATGATCACTCGGAAAGTGAAGCATCTCCATTGATCAAAACATGGAATTTAGAATCGCACACTAAAAAAGAAAGCACTAAATGTTACGGAATATTACCACAATCAAAACTTCCAGTAATTTATGGAATTGTCTAATAAAACAAAATGAGTTCTCATCTCGTTTTTTTTTAAATTTTAGTATTTACGATGCGACGTCAAAACGGAACTCGATCAAATTTGTTTATTGTTGTTGGGAGTATGGGATATACCTGTGCCTGGTTTTATTATGCGAATGATAACCGATGCAGACACGACACCAAACATTAAAATGGAAAAGGAACTATTACAAGGCATTTCTGAAGCTGCTGTTGCATCGGGTAAATCACAGGAATCATTTTAATTCATAGAGACATTATAAAATTCTAAGCAGATGCATGGATTATAACAAGTGGCTATAAGGAAGAGAGTATTTCAGAATTAGTTGGTGAAATGGTATACAAAAGTCGGATAAAAAATCCTGAGATTAGCTTCAGTGCAATTGCTGTTGGTAAATGGGGCAACATTCATGATTGTCACAAAATTGAAGAGAGGTTTGATATTGTTTCACCTTTTACAGAACATTTTCTCGATGTAATCGATTGTTGACGTTTTAAATATTTGCCTCTGAGTGTCTATTATTACAATGCATAAGATTGTATTTTTCTAGGAGTCCTTTCAATCAGTCCGCATCATATAAAGGGCATGGACGCTATCAACTAGAACTAAATCATACACATTACATTTTTTTCGATGATGGTACATGTGATTCACTGGATAATGGCGAATTTGCTTCAAACCTGGCTCGAGAAATATCCTATGGAGCAAGACGTAGAAGTAAGCATTTTTCGGAGCACAAGATTTTCTATTTGATATATTTATTTCTTTTTAATTCAGTACCATTAACTTCTATTCTAATTGGCGGTACACTTCATGCAGTTTCGTCGATATTCACTGATTTACAGAAACAAATTCCAGTTGTTATTGTTGAAGTAAGTCGTATCTATTTGAAAAAAATAATATAACGAAATTAAACTTCTTTTGGATTACGCAGGGAAGTGGACAAATAGCGGATCTATTATGTAAATATCTGAAATTAACTGAAAGTAAGCGAATTTATACTTTTTATCCCTTCCTAAATCCAAAAGAATGCAAAAAAATGTTTATCCTCCAGCGAATGATTCGAAATATTTTCTAAAACAAAAGTCATTTAAGGTTCTTATAAATCATCCCAAATTGAAAATCAACAGACTAATGCTACAGATGAAGGATCTATTGATCATGAAAATGATATCAATATAACAATGATTGATGAAGAATTTTCACAAGATGATGCTGAAGATTCATCTTCAGTAAATAAAATTACGTAAGTTTGAAATCAAAAATGAATAATGGTAAATATAAACTTGATATGCATAGATTAAGAGAAGCGTTGAAACCTCTCGGCAGAAAACGTGTGGAATTCGCTAATGACGTAAGAAAGCTTTACAGTAACATTCGACAGGAAGAGTATGAATCTAAAGGTAAACGGTTACCTGTAGGCGAACTCTTAAGTTTGGATGAAGAAAAATCCTTGGGACAATATTTATTTGAACTTTCAAGATGCATTACAACCACTCTTCGAGAAAATATTTATACTTTTAACATCAATACATCAAAATCTCTAAAGGAGACAATTTACCATGCTTTCGTACAAGGTAAGTCAATAAAAGTAATTCTATCTATATAAAATGAATGAATTGTATACTATTTGTTATTAGCAAGAAATAATCTTTCACGAACAAAAACATCTTATACAACAGCCGATGATCAAGTACATCTAGCACTTCGCTGGAACGTTACTAATATTACTAACAGTCAATCAGTAACTAGTTCAAGGATTTGGAATGATAGTACTAAAGTAGGTTATATATAATATTCTTTTGATTTATTATAATATTCTAGATTGCACAAAATCGATTACTCTTGATTAATGCCCTTAGCAAAAATTTAATTGTGTTCATCAGAAATTTTGTTAAACTCGATATCGATATTACTGTTTTATTGGGCCCGGATAAGTATGCCTCAAGGATAATTAACAATAGTTGGTCTCAAAATCATCAATATTTGAAAGAATTATACTCAGAGGCAAGACGCAAAAATGTGAGACACTATTCAAATTATTAAAAAACAAAACTTGTTGTCTTTTTTACGTAGAGAGATCCATTGTATTTGTTAGATCAAATCACCCGAAAACTTAATATCAAGGAGGAAAAGCATCTTTCTACTGTTTTAAAAATTCTAGTAGGTGATTTCATGGATCCACTCTATGGGAACCGGACAAAAAATGTTGAATCAGCGATATCAAAGACTGATGGAAATGCCAATATAGAGACGTTAGATGCTGAACACATCTATCGTGACTTATTTCTCTGGTGCATACTAACCTATCGACTTGAAATGGCTAAAATTTTTTTAAGTCAAATGAAGACTCGTATTTGTTCGGCATTAGTTGCCTCAAAGATTTTGAAATCTTTTGTACCCTATGCACCAGATAAAGTTTCGAAAGAAATATTGTTTTCGAAAGCGGCTGATTTTGAAATGTATGCAATTGAATTTGTACGATGTTCTTACTTCTATGATAAATATCAAACATGTGAATTGATTATGCGCCGTGTTGATCTCTATGGAGGTACGACATGTCTTCAAATGGCTATCGCTCAGATAATAAGAAATTCATACATGAAGATGCCTGCCAAGCTTTGCTAACCAATATTTGGTATGATAAACTTGATCCTGGTAGAGAGAAAACTCGTCTTCTTCTCAACATATTGACATTTGGAATATGGGAAATTTTCGCAACACTCTATGAAAAACATTTTTCTAAATCTTCTGCAAAAACACAAGCCGTTGATGTAAGTTAGAAAATGCTCACACAATATATAAATATATTTTTCCTTTCATTGACAGATGGTTACATCAGTATCTTCTCAACAACGGTAAGTAGTTAATAGGATGAATCATAATTGAATAAAGAAAAAATATAACATAGATTGAAAAAACATGGTATCAATTACACAGACGATTATGGCGTTGATGAAACAACACTCCAGAATGTTCTCCATTTTCATAATCGGCCTATTATCAAATATTACTATACTTGTGCAAGTCAAATATGATATGATTTAATATTTATTATATCGTTCTGTGAACTATTTTAGTTTGGCTATGTCCTCTTCCTTGTCTTCTTCAGTTATTATATGCTTTATGCATTTGATCCACCATCAAAAGAAACTCTTGCCATTCATTGGACTGAAATATTAACTATCATTATCATAACTACAATGCTTTTGGAAGAAATTCGTCAGGTTAGATTTCTCTTTTTTCAATACAATTACACTAACCCATGTCAGAAAATACGGTCAGTATACGACCGTTTACGGTGAAAAAACGATATCTAAACGGGCCGTATACGGTCATGATACTGGATGCAGGAATACGGCCGTATCGTAATGAAAATTCGGCGTATATACAATCATATACGACGAAAATACGGTATCGTTTACAGTGCCGTATTACTGCATCCAGTACTACGGGAAAATACGGACAGTTTACTGCCGTAAAGATGTCGTTTTCCTACTGTTTACTTTCAGAAAACGAACCGTAAACGATATCCGTTTTGATCGACCTGGGAAATCTATGTTTGTAATTTATTAGTTCTTCTTTCAAGATCAATCGTCATTAAAGGGAAAGATATATGCCTATTTTGATTTGAATAATCGAGTATCGAAGTTGTTTCTTATTCTACCAGCGTATTTGCTTTTCTATGCTGGACTTGTGCTTCGTTTTACACAAACAAATGCTGCAAGTTTTGAATCAGCAAGGTATACTTCATAATATATATATATTAACATTCAATATGCTTCACTATATTTTGCTGTAGAATAGTAATGGCTTTTGATTTACAATTATGGTTTATTATCTCTACTCTATTCATTGGCATTGATTCACAGCTTGGTCCTAATTTAGTTATGATTCGAAAAATGGCAAGTCTATTGATTGAACACTATTCTTTTATATATCATTATTTTTGTAGACAAATAATCTTTTGTTATTCATTATAATCATCATTATTTTTATTTTTGGCTATGGAATCACATCAAGATCTATGATAGCTTATAATACGATTGATTTCAACACCCGAGCGTTTTTACGTGAAATATTCTATCCAGCGTATTATTTTGTTTTGGGCAGTTTTGATAGTGAACTTGAAAAATTAAATGGTATAAATATCTTATATGAAAGAAACAGATACTAGTGTATTTCTTCCTTCAGGCAAACCCGAAGCTAGTACTCATATTGCCACTCATATTTTGTTCGCTTTTCATATGCTCTTTGTCAACATACTATTAGTTAACTTACTTATAGGTCTGTTCAGGTATGTAAAAATTAAGGGATTCACCTAAACAAATCTTTTTTTTCACATAATCTCATTTAGTTTTACAATAACTGACATTCAAACACAAGCACGTTATATTTGGGCTTACGACCGTTGTGATATTATCCAAACCTATACTGCTCGACCAGCTTTATTTCCTCCATTCACATTTCTAATCTCAATTGTAGAATTTTTTCAGTGGTGCTGGCAAATTATCTATTGAAATTGCTTAGCTAAGACAAAGTTTCACGATTATCAATCAAAATGTTTCAGTACGTCCTCCTATAATTTTCGACATTTGTTTATGTAGATTTGATTTTAGAAATGATTCCCACTGATGATGCTGTTGATTATGCATGGTCAGAATTCGAACGATATTCAACTAATGATTACGTACGACAACTACTCGATGCTCAAACCACTACACTGGCTAATGCAATGACTCCAAGCATGGCGTGAGTTTTAGGAATTCTATTTCCATTTCTTGACGGTATATATATATTTCCCTTCATACACAATTCTGTAAAAATAATAAAACTATTTCATATATTCAAAGTAAGCAGTTAATAATAGAAAATATATTTCCTCTATAAAAACAAGTGACCTATATTTGATTGTTGCGTAAAATATTTATGACATGTTTGATTAATATGCATAGAACTGAATCATCATCAAGTAGTGCTGCTGATTCAAACTATGCCAAATCTGATCTAAGCGATTTGCAAGATAATGTAGAACGTTCACATAATGAAACTACAGAACAATTGGAATCAATGAAAAATACAATCACTGAACTTCAATCAAAACTTGTTCAGATGGAAGAACGTACGAATAGTCAATTGAAAAATAAGAACAATGTAAGATCCCTCCTTTTTTTGCGAAATATTGTCATTTTTAATATTTATATAGGTCAATAAAGCATTGGATTGGATAATGCAAGCGATGGCTAATGCAAAAATGAGTGAATTAATACCTCCATGGATTGGTAGTGATTCATCTAGTACGTACTGGATTTTATTTTGCAGCTAGACCGGAGAGGCAATCAGCTATCGTACAGCATTAGCATAAGTGTGTTGTCGTTTAGTAGGCCAGGGGAAGGCTACGAGTTTCTACTTTTTATATAACCGAGAGTAGAAACATGAACGGAAACCATAAGAATCACTTATATAATGTTGTGACTTGGTCTATTCTGTATTTTTAGGATCCAACTCAATCAGTCAAAGGCAACAAAATGACGCTCAAGATGTTCAATCCAATCTACCTACAACTACAGTAGATCCAAGGGCACAGCAAATACCACAACAACAAATACGACCAGCAGCATCATCTGAATTTTGTATTGAAATAAGACGTCTGTCATTTGATGATGATTCTGTTTAAAGCTATTTGTATCATTTAAATTAGACTTCTTGTTTTAATATGAATATGAAAAAAGAAATAATTAGAATAGCGATTCGAAACATTCTTAGGAATTGACTTTATTTATTTAAAATCCATTAATAATTATGATCGATGGCGTCTACTCTGGAAAAAAAATAGGTGTCAGATGGAACCATTTATGGTTCTAGCCAAGATACTGAACCTTTTAAGGTTTCACTCGCTCATTAATAAACCATCGAGGGTTCTAGCTATTTAAAGAACCATCTCAGACCCTCAATAGTTCCGGATGTTTGAAAACGTTCCGTCCTGCATCATTTTTTTAATGCTGAACCATTTTTCCAAAGATGGTTATGGCTTGAACCAAGATACTATATTTTTGGAACGTGGTTTAAGTAATATAAATCTCAAAAAGGTTATTGAGATCGAGGCATCTGAATCCGTTATCATTTTTTCCATCCGAGCTTCCAATGGTCAGAAATTGGGTGCATCAAAAAAACGAGGGCTGTAAAATTAGACTTTGCATTTCAACTCAGATCTAAATTCTGATCGAAGTTTGGAATAGGTTATCTATGCCCAGGAATCCGAACCCGTCATTATTTTTGCGTTGCCAGCGATGCGATAGCTGAATGGTAGACCTGGGTAGTTGTGTCTCCAAAATGAATTCAATAATTAGTGGTACCTTTTCAAGTGTGATTGTTCTTTTATCTTTTTAGATATGTCACATGTATTCTTGTTTTGTTAAGAAGGTTGATATATTAGACATGATTTAATTCTCTTCTTTTATTTTATTTTAATTTATTTTAAATTTAAATCAATTTAATTTGATTTGATTTGATCTTATAGTTTATTAATTTAAATTTAAAATTTACAAATTG